ACCCCCCACTGGGGATATGCCCTCAACCAAGATACATGCCCTTGACTGGAATCGAACCTGGGACCCTTTGGTCCGCAGGCCGACACTCTATCCACTGAGCCAAACCGGTCAGGGCATATTATTTTTCTTTTTAAAAGATATATTTTTATTGATTTCAGAGAGGAAAGAAGAGGGAGGGAGAGATAGAAACATCAATGATGAGAGAGAATCATTGGTCAGCTGCCTCCTGCAGGCCCACATTGGGTATTGAGCCTGAAACCCAGGCATATAACTTGACCAGGAATCAAACCATGACCTCCTGGTTCAGAGGTTGACACTCAACCACTGAGTCATGCCTGCGGAGCTTACGTCTTTTTAAGATAGTTCAGCTAGAGACTCAGTCACTAAGTAGCAAACTTGGGGTGAATGTTTGGTGTATCAATCTGGGGCCTTGAGGAGTATCTCAGGTTTTCTCTACCTTTAAATACTTAGCTGTTGATAAGAAGTTCCCTGTAAACCGCTTATTTTGTCAATATTTGCATTTTGCTGCCCAGGAATTTGGTTTTGTGTGCTTTTCTTGCTTTGGGACAAATTGGCCTTCTATTGATAGGTGTGCTGTATGTAAGATACTATTTCAGCCTAGAATTTGGATAAGCACTGGCTGATGCATATAAGAGTCAGTGAAGCCTTTACTCTTAAAGAGAAAAGATCAGCGTTTGTATTTTCTTCTTTCTACCATGTAGCTCTTCTAGAAATAGTATTTGGGTTTATTTATTTATTCTTTTTTAAAATCTTCACCTAAGGATATTTTCCCATTGATTTTTAGAGAGAATGGGAGAGAAAGGGAAAGACAGAGAGAAACATCGATGTGAGAGAAACACATCAATTGGTTGCCTCCTGCACAAGCCCTGGGCCCAGGCTGGGGAGGAGCCTGCAACCAAGGTACATGCCCTTGACCAGAATCAAACCCAGGACCCTTTGGTCCGCAGGCCGATGCTCTATTCACTGACTCCTTCAGCTGGGGTAAATGGAGTTACTATCAATTATTGTAAATGGGTTTTAGAGACTTAATAGTTCTGTCTTAGTAAAGTAACAACCTTTAATTCTCTAATTTTATCAACTATAAATTGCAGTTTTCTCCAGCTATCAATTGTTCCTATATGATAGCTAGAGCTGAAAAGATGTGGTATTTATTTCAGGGTACATTTACAATTATGTAGTGAAACTGTGATGTGACAAGTGCATCACCAACTACCTTGTTAAAGGAATCAGTTGCTCATTACTCATGCCTCTATTCTGCAGGTATTTCCTACAAATACCGCGGGCAATACGTTTTTACGTGTGTCACTTTAACTTATTTTACTAATAGTTATTTTCTTTTATTTGTTGAATTTGCTCCAGGATTCCAGAAAAAAATTAAAAAGAGCCTTAAAGATAAAGTTTAAAGAATGATTTACCGAATCTGAGACCGTGTGTTTCCAGAACGGGGGCAGCGATGGATGTGGATACCCTGAGCGGCACCAACAGCGGCACGGGCAAGAAGCGCTTTGAAGTGGAAAAGTGGACAGCAGTAGCCCTCTGGGCCTGGGACACTGAGGTTGATAACTGGCCATCTGCAAGGAACCACATTATGGATCTTTGCATAGAATGTCAGGCGAACCAGGCGTCTGCCACTTCTGAAGAGTGCCCCTTTGCGTGGGGAGTCTGTAATCATGCTTTTCACTTCCACTGCATCTCTCGCTGGCTCAAAACACGGCACGTGTGTCCGCTGGACAACAGAGAGTGGGAATTCCAAAAGTATGGGCACTAGAAAAAGAATATTCTCCATCAAGCTCAACTGTTTTGTTATTCATTTAGTGACTTGCCCTCCTGTTACTTAATTGTAAGTTAGATAGAACTGGGTCTTTTCCGCTCTGTCTTTTCACTTTGCTACTCCTGCAGTCCTATTGTGTTCCGTGTCAAATAAAATCCAGTTGGGTTCTAAAAAAAAAAAAAAAAGACCTAACCTGGCTAGAGAACCTGGCTAGGCTGCTGATCAACTGGAAAAAAGAGAAAAAAAAAAAGAATGATTTACCATTAATGACTAGCCTTTCTAATTTCTTCTTGACTACAGAGCTTAGCTGATAAACTTGACTTGGTCAAGAAGCTACCAAGATCTATTCTACTTGTTCAGGGTTTACCAGTTGCTTTAAATTTCTCTCAAATGCCCTAACCTTCATGCAAACTTCCTAAAAAGTGGGCCAAGATGGTCTTAATCTCTTCTAGCCATCCATTAACACACTATACATACCAGTGTTTCTGAAGCCAGCAGGATTCCTTAAGATACTACCAGGTGTTCAGGGTGAAATAAATTTGGGAAACACTGGATATTATATTCCTCTCTTGGATATATTCATAATTCATGTTATGGATATAATATGAGTGAATATATTAAAGTCTCTGAGGTCTCCAATAAAAGAAATCTGCTTAATTTTCTTTAGCCTAGCATATTTAGTAAATACCTTCTAAATTGCAAGTTGTAATTCAGATGTCACTTTCTACATGAAACCTTTCATGATTTCTACAGACAGTATCCAATGTGTTCACCATTGAATTCACATAGCTCAGAGTTAAATTATAAAGTGCTATAAAAATTTAGTTTTTGTTAATATTCTGATGTAATCTTTTGATTGTAAGCAACAGAAAACTTACCTCAAATTGGTTTAAGCAATTAAGGGAATTTACTAGTCATCAACTGAAAATTTAGGTGAAGTTTGGTCCTCATTGTTGAGGCTCAGTGATGTTTCCGAAGAGCTGGTTTCTTCTAAAATAGTTGATTTTGTACAGTTTGCTCCTTGGTCTCAATATGGCTGTAACAGTTTCTAGGAAAGCTACATGTGCTTCCCTCATCTCTAGTAGGAAGAGAACATCTTTCAAGGAAGCTACTTCAGAACAACAAAGAAGCATCTTTTCCAGAAGCCTAGCAAAGGTCATTTCATATCTCATTGGCCTGAATTAAGGTCACTTGCCCATCGCTAAACTAATCAATATTCATGGAGGTAGGATATGCTGATCTTAACCTAAATAGGGTCTACCCTGGATTTGGTGTGAAGTCAGCTTTCTTGGAAGTGTCCTTATAAGAGAATATAGGTATTTCCCTGACCGGTGTAGCTCAGTTGGTTGGGCATTGTCCAGTGCACCAGAAGGTTGCCAGTTCAATTTTAGGGCACATGCCTGGGTTGCAGGCTCGATCTCTGGTAGGGGGTGTGCAGGAGACAGCTGATTGGGGTTTCGCTCTTACATTGATGTTTCTCTCTCTCTCCCTCTCCCTTCCTCTCTCTCTAAAAATCAATTAAAAATATTTAGAAAAAATAGAATATGGGTATTGTTACTAAGAAGAAGGAGGAATAGATGCTGGGCAGCCAAAACAAATAAAAATCCACTACATGATGCTTACCACATTCTATTACTTCTGTGTTAATTAATGCATAATTAGTACATTAATTAGTCATTCTGTATTAATTAACTTCGTTTACACAAAAACTTGTAATGAATGTTTGTGGCATCAATATTCATAATAGCAAAAAAGTAGAAACAATCCAAGTATCTGAACTGATGATAGATAAACAAAATATGGTATATCCATACAATGGAATATTATTCAGAAATAAAAAGGAATAAAGTACTGAAGTACTGATAGTTGCTATAACATGGATGAAACTTGAAAGCATTATGCTGTGTGTAAGAAACCAGTCACAAAAAGCCACATATTGTATGATTCCATGTATATGAAATGTCCTGAGTAAATCCATAGAGACAGAAAGTAGGTTAGTGGTCACCAGAGGCTAGGGGGAGGGAAAAATGGAGCATAGTTGCTAACAGATACTAGGTTTCTTTTGGAAGGTGATGATGAAAATGTTCTGGAATTAGATAGTGGTTATGCTTGCACAACTTGGTGAATATACTCAAAACTACCGAATTGTACACTTTAAATTTAAAAGGTAAAACTTGCCCAGCCAGCGTGGCTCAGGGGTTGAGCATTGACCCATGAACAAAGAGGTCACTGGCTCAACTCCCGGTCAGGACACATACCTGGGTTGGGGACGTGCAGGAGGCAGCTGATCAATGATTCTCTCTCATCATTGATGTTTCTATCTCTCTACCCCTCTCCCTTCCTCTCTGAAATAAAAAAAAATATATTAAAAAGAAAAAATGAAAAGAGTCAGAATCTGAGAGTACGAAACCTAGTAAGAGTAAAAGAAGTTAGGATACTGCCTCCAAAAAGATTTTCTCAAAACATACCTCTATTATTTATTCTTAGAAGGAAGGAAAAAAGTTTCTTGTAAGTGTTAAGGTCCAGTGAATGACAAACCACCAAAATAAGTTATTTTGGGGAGTTGGAATTTATAGAATCATGAACATAAGATCTGAGAAGGTCTGGCCAGTGTGGCTCAGTTGAATGGAGCATCATCCTATATACTGAAAGGTTGTGGGTTTGATTCCCAGTCAGGGCACATACCTAGGTTGAAGGTTCAATCCCCAGTCAGGGCACGTATCACATCAATGTTTCTTTCTTTCTCCTGTTCTTGTTCTTGGCACAATTTCTGTCCTAAAAGATAGAATAATTGCTATGAAGAGGTTTATGCACATTACAAAGAGCATGCCTGAGTTTTTTTTTATTTGTTTGCTTGTTTTTGAGATGCAGTAACAATACTTGAGTTAAGTCTTGAAAAAGAAATAGGAGTTTGCCTAGTGAACAGGAGGGGAAGAAATTTGGCTGAGGAGATAGCATATGAAAAATTACAGAAATATGATATAGGAGGGTAAATGTAGAGAACAGCAAGTAATTTGGTTTTTCTGAGATGCCAATAATTTCTTCTATGCTCACATTCTCTTCTTAGGAACCTGTCCTCTTCAAGCCTATTATATATTGAATGACCCTGTATCCCTGGCCACAAGACCAGGAATGGGTTCCTGACTGGAGCTAATGAGATTTTCTCCTGCAGGAATAAAATAAACCAAATGGACTTTCACTGTTAGTAATGCTAGACTATATAATTTAAGTCAACCCTCCTACTGAAGACAGCTAGACAAGCTGGATGAAATACAAAAAGCATTATCTAAAAGCATCTAATAACTAACAAATTAGTGAGGAATTACTGGGCCAAGATTTTGGATAGGTAAGGAGTTTGGAGCGATGAGCTTGGCACTCAAGCTGCTTTTGTCTGGAGGCATATACTGATTCAGAAGTGACTAGGAATGTAAGCTTCACTTTTGGCAGCATTGAGAGCCTATAGGGATAAAAGTTGGGGTTCAGGCCCTGGCCGGTTTGGCTCAGTGGATAGAGTGTTGCCTGCGGACTAAAGGATCCCAGGTTCGATTCCGGTCAAGGGCACATGCCTGGGTTGCAGACTCGATCCCCAGCGGGGGCGTGCAGGAGGCAGTTGATCAATGATTTTCTCTCATCATTGATGTTTCTACCGCTCTCTCCTTCTCCCTTCCTCTCTCAAATCAGTAAAAAAAATAAATTATATATATATACACACATATACATATATATATAAAAAAATAATAAAATTGTTTTTTAAAAAAAGAAAAAAAGTTGGGGTTCAGAACCCATAAAGAGTGATGACCCTGATATATTACCCTCTGCACTTTAGATGTAAGGGAGCACTAGAATTAAACTAAACCTCATACAGACTGCAGGCTGACTTTATATCTAAGTGGCCTAGAAAAATCTCAGGGCCTGAACTTGTACTAAATTGGCTTTAATTGCTCATGGCAAGAACAAATAAAAATCCTCTGTGAAGAAAAATATTCTGGGCCTCAAGTTATTTAGATAAAAATTTTTTCAAGTACAGTGTCCCACACAAAAATAACCAGGCACCTGAGGGGACAAGACACCATGAGTAAGGAGGAGAAATAACAGATAATAGAAACAGATCCACAGGGATTCTGTATGCTGCAATCATTCGACACAGACTGTAAAACAATTCTGTGTACTATGTTCAAGGCAATAAAAGCCAAACTTGAAAACCTTGGTAGAGAACTAGAAACTATAAAAAGTGACATAAAAAACAACATCACAGATTTGTAAATGAACAAAATGGAAACTCTAGCCTGAGACTGTGGTGAACACTGAAATTTGTCAGGTCAGAGAGACTGAAATCTGGTGACCTTGTTAATCTATATGCAAGTCCAGGAAGAAATGCAGACAGAAACAGAGATGAGAAAGCATGTGACTCCAGGAAGAGAAAGATGCAGAGAGAGTAGCTATCTAAGTATTTTTCAGTTCAGCCTCTTCCCACTACAAATGATGCCATAATAAATATCTTTGTACACATATGCTTATATACTAGTATTTTATTTCTGTATAAAAGATCCCATATACTATATTAAAATGTGAAAGATACTGCCACATTACTTTCCAAAAATGTTATAGCAATTCTCATTTCCCCCAGTAATGTATGAGAGTTCTCATTTCCCCATGTTCTTTCCACTACTAAATGTTATCAATGTTTTGATATATTGCCAATCTGGGGAGTTAAAAATGGTATCTTAAAAAGTCTATATTGCATAAAAACAAACATGACCAATAGAATAAAAGAGAGAATCCAGAAATAAACCCTTGTATAGTCAAATGATTTTAAATAAGCATGTCAAAAACATTTCAATGGAAAAGGATATGCTTTCCAACAAATAGTATTGGGAAACTGAATATCCATGTGCCGGGACTCTTCATATCATATGCAAAAATTAACTGAAAATGGATCAAAGACCTGAATATAAGAACTAAAACCATAAAACTCTTAGAAGAAAAAAATAGTGGAAAAAAGTAATGTCATTGGATTTGACAATGATATTGATATGACACCAAAAGCTCAGGCAACAAAAGAAAAAAAACAGATTAATTGAACTTCATCGAAATTAAAAACTTTTGTGCATCAAAGAACACTATCAACAGAAAGAAAAGGCAACCTACAGATGGGAGAAAATATTTGCAAAAAAAGAAAAAAGAATTTGCAAATCATCCTATATAATAAAAGGCTAACAGGAGTTCAACTGACCGGGAGTTTGACCGCTCACTATGACGTGCACTGACCACCATGGGGTGGCACAGAACAAAGGAAGGCCCTGGCCAGCAGCCGGGGAAGGAAGCCCCTGATTGGCCCTGATCGCCAACCAGGCCTAGAGACCCTACCCATGCATGAATTTTGTGCATCAGGCCTCTAGTATTATCTGATAAGAGATTAAAATCCAGAACACATAAAGAAGTCTTACAATTCAACAAGGGCAAAAAAATAAACAATCTAATTAAAAATGGGTAAAGGATTTGAATAGACATTTCTCCAAAGAAGATATATAAATGATTAGTAAAAACATGAATG